ACTACTACTACGAAACTACTACTACGAAACTACTACTACGAAACTACTACGACGAAACTACTACTAAACGGCTACTAAACTACTACTAAACGGCTACTAAACTGCTACTCAACTACTACTAAACTACTACTAAACTACTACTAAACTACTATTATACTACTACTAAACTACTACTGAACTACTACTGAACTACTACTAAACTACTACTAAACTACTACTAAACTAGTACTAAACTACTACTACCACTACTGCTACTATCACTACTACTACTACTACTATTACTACTACTACTACTACTACTACTAGTACTACTACTACTACTACTACTAAACTACTACTACTACTACTGCTACTACTACATCAACTGCACCGCCTTCAAAGCCAAGAGGAAATCAAACAGCGGCCCGGTCCATCCGCGCCATGTCGGAGACCATATCGTTCAACTCCACCATCTGCACCGCACGGAGTACCAGTACAACAAATGTTCTTCGACCACCGAGAGCCGACAGACAGCAAAGGTGCAGAACACTGTCCAGGGCTTTGCTTAATTCAGATGGCAGTACGCAGATCCGTATGGTGAGAACTAGTGGCCATCCGGCCTAGAGCTGTGGGAATGGGTAGAGAAGCGATACAAATAGGTTCGGACTTGGTATGCTTTAGTTGGCTGTGCAATCTTGCTACCATATGCGATCAGCCGTTGATGCATGGCAGTATAGAGTGTTGAGATCGTAGGTGCCTTTTGACGAGCGGTGAGATGAGTTCACTGTAGCCCATGCAGCTAACAGGGTAGCCATCAGCTTATGACTGTTGAATAGGTCTCACTTAGAAAACTTAGGATCTGCATGTGTAACTACATGCCGACTGGCTATGTGTTGTCTCTATTATATACCTATTTATACATATATGTATATCTATATATATATATGTATATTAGATGTAAATATGCGCGCGTGAGCTGGGACACGGGAATTCAAGATAAAGTTCTTGTGTTGCTACGAGAGTTCTAATCTTGTAAATGGGGCGTTGGAATTCCTGCTGCGCCCATGGGGCATGTATAGGCACTGTAGCCACTACCCGCTCAAACAGGAGAACCAAAAGGTCAAAAGGGGCTAAAACTTAGCGGTTGATCCTGTGAAACTACACGCTGTTAGGAGGTCCATGGGGTAACTTGAAAGAAACAACATCGCTGTGAACAGATAAAACTTGACATGCGAACACGGCCTTTCAGAGGATATGAGGCTGAACTCAACACATGCCTGTTTGGATTTTGGCGAATGGGTGGTCCTTCAATAACTTTGAGCCTTCAAAAGTTCACCAAAAAACAAGCAATTAAGCGGCACTATCTCGCCAAAGAGCGTCCACACGCAGCTTTCTCACAGCCATCATGTCTCAAAAAGAGAACTTTGGGACGAACAGCAAACCCATGACCATGGCCTCCCAATGACGTATGGACCGTGCAAATCCTCAGGAATGGACGTGTCGTGCAGCACGTGCTCTTCCTGGAGAAGAGTGGATG